GGAGCCATTTGTAAACATGAAAGTTGTAGGAAATTGTCTCAGCTTTTTTTTTTGTAAAAAATTCAGATTATGTTGACTTCTAGAACTCCAGATATGACCCAAATAGTGAACAGTGTTCGAGCTGGAGGACAGATTCAGACTTCTTTGTTGTTGCTCCAATTTGGACTTGAAAATGATCTTTTTAGATCTTGGGCTCCATATGAAAGTTGTAGGCCTATGTCTTACCTTTCCATCCATATAAAGTAGACCTAAATTTGAGATCTACAGCTCCAAATATGACCCAATTACCGAATATTATCCGGTTTGGATTGCACCGACATCTCTTTTCTAAGTTTGGCCATCTCTTTATCCTTGCAATTTAAGTTCTTAAAGTCATCAATCAATATTTTCATTTATGTGATAGGCCTGCATTTAAAATGAACATTTACCATAAATTAAAGGTATCTTATATTATTAGATATATTATTATAAAACATGCTTTAGTTAAGGAGTTATTGATATTTCAAGTGCAAAATGATGATATAAAACCTTGATAAAAATATACTTTTAAGTATTAATCACCAATCAATCAATTTTATTTATAGATAGGATTGTTAGAAAAAATATATTTTCAACATGGTATTTGAATGCTATCTAAAACCATTTATGGTGAATGTGAAATTGATTAGTCATTTTTTTATCTTGTAAGATTTAGTAATTCAATAAATTCAGTAAACTGTTAAGAATTTATTTTAATTAATTTTGAATTAAATTTGTATGTCTAACCTCCTCTTGTATAAATAAAGATCGAGGGATATCATTTATAAAGAAATAGAAAAGTGAAAAACAAAGAGAAAGTTCATGCACTTTCTCTCTCTACCTTGTTTGTTTTTGTGCTTTTCTTTTTTTGGTTTTAGGTTTCGTTGCTGTAGAGAGAAAATTCAAGTTTTCTAGTTCATATGTCTTGATTGAATATGCATCCTTTTAATGTATTGTTATTGAAATTCTAGGAGGCAAGTTGTCTTAAGACCTTTTGTATGTGTTCATAAATAATTTATTCTTAAAGACAAAGATATCATCCTTAATAACTTCCTTTCCTTTTTTGGTTTTGATTTAAAGATTTATAATCGACAAGTATTTTATATATTTGTACTTATTTTTTGTTTAATATTTTGTTCTTATATTTTTTATTATCTTATAAATGTATTTAATTATTTTTCCTAAACAATTCCCCCAACAACTAGAGAGTTTTTAAGAGTGAAAATAGGATTTGATGGTACAAATAATGTTCTAGGGAGGAAATCAGCACTAGAAAATCATTTTGAGAGAAATTAAAGCCGGAATAAACTTGGAGTGTACTAGGTCCATGTATATGTCTTCAAAAACAAGCACCCAAGTGACCAGAATTGTTACTGTTTTTGAACTTTAAGGTAATTAAAGGGGAGGAAAGATTCCATCGGCAACATCAATTTTATAGTTCTATTCATTTTAATGATATTTTGCCTCCTAACAGCAACTTTGGAGACTACTTTGCGGCGTTACAATGATGTTTGTACTTTTATTTGTTTTGTATTTTAAAAATATTTTTTAAAATTTTAAATATTTTTATTTATTTTAAATTAATATATTTTTAATATTTTTAAATTATTTTAATATATTAATTTTAAATTATTTTAAAATATTGATATCAAAAATAATTTTTTAAAAATAAAAAAGTATTAACATATATTTTAACATAAAAATTATTTAAAAAATAATTACAACTATATTACTAAACAAGCCTAGAATATGCTAGTTATGGTATGCATTAATCACAAAAAAGGACTTAAGCATGAGTGTTATTTTTTTTTCTTGAAAAAACAATTACAACTATATTATTAAACAAGCCTAGAACATGATCACAAAAAAGGATTTAAGCATGAGTGTTATTTTTTTCTTCATATTTTTGTATTATTTAAATTTTTTATTTTTAAAATAAAAATAAAATGATTTGAAAAAACATGAAATATGCTAAAAGGACGGTATTATTTAAATTTTTTATTTTTAAAATTAAAATAAAATGATTTGAAAAAAAGGATGAAGTTCAAACATAAAAATTAATTAATTAATTTGAAATTAGAGATACTATTCAATTATATAGGCTAAATTATAATACACTCTATTTTTTTTTATTTTCATTTACATACTATGGTTTTAAAAAATAAATATTAACATGAATATATAATTATTTACCATCCAAAAAGTTTTAAAAAACTTTATTCTTAAACATATAGAATGTTAAAACGTAATCACTTATTGCATAAATTAAAAAAAAAACCAACAACTACCTAGGAATGTTAACTTCAAAGGTTGAACACAAAAACATCTTTGTACAAAAATGACCATTTTCTTCATATGGTTAATACGAACTCGTACATTGACAATGGTTTCCTAATTTTTATGTTGACCTCAATTTAAATGGAAACTTCCTACGTTGCCATACATTCCCTGACCCGCTGCTGTCTTGTATCTAGTTCCGATTGCACTTCCGAGCTACAGTTACGCCAACCGAACCAGACTTGGCCCAAGGCACCCTGATCCCGACCTTTGATTCCGGGGGCCTGGTCCCACCATGGCTACCGGACGCCTTAGATACAGTCCTACCCCCACCATCGGATGTCTCAGAAAATCAAAACAAACAAGTTTCGAGTTTGAAAAACTAAGATCAGAAAACGTCTCAACTCTCTCATCCGCCGCGCTCACCGCCGACACGACCCTCTGGTTTAGAATTGGAGATCGCTGGTTCAATAGCCAATAGGTTATCCGTTAAACACAAAAGTCTATGAAACCATAAACAAATCACCTGAGCCAACTGCACCACACCAAGACAAAAACAACAGAAGCAATGGGCGGGAATTACCGTTTGAGACAGTTGCACAGTAGCTGCCCCATTCCGACCATCAATTTCCAATCAGCAAAACCCAAAAACTCAAACTCTTCAAAGAAAACATCAACGTCCCAAAAAACTGCAAAACTGCAAAACTTAAGCACCACAGACTCTGACATTGTAAAATGGAACATTGCCATAACCACCCACATGCGAAATGGCCTGTGCGAATCCGCTCTTCGAGTGTTTAACTCCATGTCTCGAAGAAGCTCGGTATCGTACAATGCAATGATTTCTGGGTACTTACGGAATCACAAGTTTGATCTCGCGAGGGACTTGTTTGATAAAATGCCTGAGAGAGATTTGTTTTCTTGGAATGTGATGTTAACTGGGTATGTCAGGAATAGAGATCTTAAAACTGCGCGTGCTTTGTTTGAGAGGATGCCGGAAAGGGATACTGTTTCTTGGAATGCCATGTTATCTGGGTATGCGCAGAATGGGTTTGTTGACGAGGCTAGAGATATTTTTGATAAGATGCCGCTTAAGAATGGGATTTCGTGGAATGGGTTGCTTGCAGCATATGTGCAGAATGGGAGGATAGAGGATGCAAAGAGGTTGTTTGAGTCGAAGATGGATTGGACGCTTGTTTCTTGGAATTGTTTGATGGGTGGGTTTGTGAGGAAGAGGAGGTTATTGGATGCCAGGAGTGTTTTTGATAGGATGCCTGTGAGAGATGAGATTTCGTGGAATACTATTATTAGTGGTTATGCACAGAATGGAGAGATGGACGAGGCACGAAGATTGTTTGAGGAGTCTCCAATTCAGGATGTGTTTACATGGACAGCTATGGTTTCTGGATATGTGCAAAACGGGAAGCTGGATGAAGCAAGAAGTATTTTTGATAGGATGCCTGAGAAGAACTCAGTTTCTTGGAATGCAATGATTGCAGGGTATGTAAAATGTAAACGAATGGACATGGCAAGAGAATTGTTTGAGGAAATGCCTTCTAGGGATGCTAGTTCTTGGAATACGATGATTACTGGATATGCTCAGAGTGGAAATATTGCTCATGCTAGGAACTTGTTTGATAACATGCATCAACGTGATTCTATTTCCTGGTCAGCTATGATTGCTGGCTACTCTCAAAACGGTTACAGTGAAGAGGCTTTACATTTTTTTGTAGAAATGCAAAGAGATTGTGAAAGGTTGAATAGATCATCATTTACCTGTGCTTTGAGCACATGTTCCAACATTGCAGCTTTGGAATTGGGGAAGCAGTTGCATTGCCGGCTGGTCAAGGCTGGGTACCAGACTGGGTGGTACGTGGGGAATGCTCTTCTTGCGATGTATTGTAAGTGTGGAAGTATAGATGAGGCACGAGATGCATTCGAAGAAATACTAGAAAAGGATGTGGTGTCTTGGAACACAATGATTCATGGTTATGCAAGGCATGGTTTTGGGGAAGAGGCTCTGACAATTTTTAAGTTAATGAAGACCGCAGGAATCAGGCCAGATGATGCCACTATGGTATGGTTTGACTTATTATTCTGACGTGTCTAACTAATTTTTAGGCTAAAGCACCAATTCCTCTACAAGAACTTTGATCCCTGTTGTACAATTAATTGTTCTTGTAACATGTAAATTTGTTATGCAATATTGGGAGAGAACCATGTGCTGCACTTAAAAAACCAGTTAAGTTACCACCTCAATTTCATTATGATATGAGAAAATATTGTATTTAATTATATGAAGATTTCTAGAGCTGATATCCTAAAACCAAGCCATCTCACTTCATGATCGCATCTTTTCTCTATTAAACAGTGTTGAATATCTTTCTCTCTTCTATCCGTGTTTCAGGTTTCTGTATTGGCTGCTTGTAGCCATGCTGGCTTGGTAGACCAGGGCAGTGAATATTTCTACTCGATGAATCGTGATTATGGTATAACTGCAAAATTAGTGCACTATACCTGTATGGTTGATCTTCTAGGTCGAGCAGGGAAACTAGAAGAGGCCCAGAATTTGATGAAAAACATGCCTTTTGAACCAGATGCTGCCACCTGGGGTGCTTTGCTTGGTGCAAGCAGAATTCATGGCAATACAGAATTGGGTGAAAAGGCTGCTCAGATCATCTTTGAGATGGAACCTCATAATTCAGGAATGTATATACTTCTCTCAAAATTATATGCAGCTTCAGGAAGATGGTCTGATGCTGGTAAGATGAGATTAGAAATGAGGAATAAAGGTGTGAAGAAAGTACCTGGGTACAGTTGGCTTGAAGTTCAAAATAAAATTCACACATTTAAAGTTGGGGACACTTCCCACCCGCATACAGATAAGATATATACCTTTTTAGAAGAGATGGATTTGAAACTGAAGCAGGAGGGATATATCTCCTCTACAAAGTTGGTCTTTCATGATGTGGAAGAGGAAGAGAAGGTGCATATGCTCAAGTATCACAGTGAGAAATTAGCTGTGGCATATGGCATTCTGTCCATTCCTGCTGGGAGACCGATCCGTGTGATAAAAAACTTGCGGGTGTGTGAAGATTGTCATAATGCCATTAAGTACATATCAAAGATTGTGGGAAGATTGATCATCCTAAGGGATAACCATCGCTTTCACTACTTTGAGGGAGGATCATGTTCCTGTAGAGATTTTTGGTGATCTAGCAAAACTAATGATTTTTGACGCTTATAGAGTTGCAAATATACTCAGTATATGTCAAATTCTTACATGTTGAATTTTCCTGTATCTGAATAATTGAACGTGGTGACTCTTGTAAGAAAAGGATAGAGGTCCGCTCCTGCTGCTGTATGCAAAAAGGACTGTTGATTGTGAAAAGAGGATTGTTGAAGGTATCCAGAAATGAGATTACTTTTGATTTTTTGAGAAAAGATATCCTGGATTCCTTGAAAAATTTAGAAAATGGTAACAGAGTTCCAGTATTTCCGAACATGTTTCTTGTTGATTGGTAGTGGGAGGTTGTGTGTTTAGTATAGCTTCTTCATTAAATGTAACAGAGTTTCTCGCATCTAAGAGATCATAAACCTCAGGGACCTTGTACAGTACTTACCATAAACAGGACTATGTAGTGAAAACATCCAGAATTCTCTTGTTTTGCTCATTGATAGGCCGGACAAGGTGGTTTTTCAGAATCCATTTGAGGAGAGGGGGATGATGAGAATTATCTTGCTATATCATAGGATCCATTATATTTGTTGATTGGATCAATTACAAGGGCAACATGAATTACTTCTAAGGTGGCATGAATTACTTCTACGGTGGCATCAATTAAGTTTTAAAGAGGATGAAACCTTGATTAATATGATTCAAATAAGAGATGAGTACACGTAGAAAAACTTGGATATATAATTTTATATTAATAATCAATTATTGGATTGGACGAATCACAAGGAGAAAAGTTAAGAAAATCAAAAAATATTTAATGGGCTGATTTGAAATGTTTTAGCTTAGCAAGCTTCAGAAATTACTTTTAAAGTGACATCAATTAAGTTTTAAAAAGGATCATTAATGTAATTCAAACAAGAGAAGAGATGAGGTTGTTTAACATGTATTAAAGTTTAGTTACACCACTTTATCACTTTATATTAATAATCATAATTTTAAATATAATCATTAGATTAGATTGAAATTTTATCAGAAGATTTTATTTTCTATAGAGTTGAAATTTTATAACTTAGATTGAAATTTTATCAGAAGATTTTAAAAGCCTTATTTTCTATAGAGTTGAAATTTTATAGCAATGAAACATTAAAAAAACTTTTAGATAAGGTCTAAAAGTTACTACATAAATAGAACTTTATTTATTAAAACTTGAGTTTTGTTATTTTATTTTAAAGTACTCCTAAACTAGTTTATATCTTAGTTTTAATTTTAGCCTAATTTTCCGATATGGTTTATTTTGTAGAACTATAATTTTTTTTAGTTTGTAAGTTATAATAACTTATTGATTTCAAAAATAATATTGGAGAAGATTTCTCTTGTTATTGATTCTTTCTTGAACTATTCAAAACTTATCAAAGATATTTTCTTTGTGGCGTCCAACCTTATAACCTTGGTTCTTAGTTTATTTTGATCAACGTGTCAAGTTTTTCATCTAATAACTATTGTTATTTGATTTAGATAATCATTGGATCGAGTTTCATCAAATCTAATTTTAGCTTTCTTGTATTAGAATTAAATCTTCATTGTGAGTTCTAGTGTTTCTATATTCCAAGTCTGCATTAGTTGGTATAAATCTTGACTTTATATCATATTTTGTGTATCTATTTTTAAATTTAGTTTTGTTTTTTGTTCTTAGGTTCAATTTTCTCTCAAAAGTGTCAAACCCTAGTTTCTTTATATATATTTTTTTTATTTTGACATTATCGTTTCATTATGTATTTATTTTTTCTTATTTCAACTTTACCGTGATTTTTTTACTTTATTTATTGATTAAAAAAAAGTTATTTGTAATCTAGAGTGTGTGTGTGTCTATATATATATATATATATATATATATATATATATATATCTCAAAATCAAGTTGATTAAAATCAACTTTATTGAATTTGGCAACCTCGGATAAATTTCTTGTGATTTTGATTTGTTGGGATAAATCTATTTTGATTTTGGGTTTATTAAATTTCATATAGGAATTATAATTATTAAGTTGTCTTGTATTGATTTTAGGTTTATTTTCAATATTAGTTTCAAGTTTTTGTTGAGTCATTCTTAATTCATTTTTGTTTTTGTGATTGCCTTATTTTTTTTGGCATTCATTGATTCAACTTCATAAGTTGAAACTTTATGATTGATTTTGTTTATTTCTTGAAAGAATTGAAAAGGAGAGTTAAAAGGTAAGACTTGAAAGAATTGAAAAGGAGAGTTAAAAGTGGTAAAAGGTAAGGGGACGTGAAAATAATATCAAGACAAGACAAGTTAAGAGTGAAACATGAGTGGAGTGACATATCTTTGAGTATAAACATATAAAGAAGTGCATAAAGGTTACTGCTAACATTTTTTTTCTTCAATTTTTTGAATGTCTTTCAAAGGCGATCTGTCATGTCAGGAGGAAAAGTAGAGTATATTTTTTGTGTTACAAGTAACATAACAAGAATTTAAGAGAATAAATATGTCGTTTGGTGAAGTAAAAGATTATATGGATAGATAAGTTGTTGTGATTACTAATTTGCAAAATGGACAATCCTAAAAGGTTTCTAATGCTAGGAGATAAAAGAGACATATTCATATAGTAATAGATAAGATTGTAAATAAGAATAAGGATGAAGAAACAATTGTTTTTTTATCAAGTTTCATTCAGCCAATTAGAGAGAATTCAACCAAACAAGAATTCAACTTTTTTTTCTTCTCATGAGGGTAGTTAGATCATTGAAAAACAATAAAAGGGTACTTAAATATTTGAGGTACAACTTAGACTATGAGTTATATTATATTGGTTTCCCAATTGTATTAGAAAGGTATAATGATTCATATTAGATATCCAACATAAAAAATTCAAAATCTACTAATAGATATATCTTCATACTCGATGAAACAACTATATCATGAAAATCCTCTAAGCAAACATACGTCATAATTTCTATGATGAGATTAGGGTTTATTTCTCTTGATAAAGTTACAGAGAAAGTCGAGTGGCTTTAAAATTTCTTAGAAAATATTTCATATTGACCAAAACTTGTGTCGGTTATTTGTATCTATTGCAACAATTATTCAGCAATTAGAAGGGCACAAGATAATATGTATAATGTTAAGTGTAGAGATATGCATTGTAGATATAGTATCATTAAACACTTGCTCTCAAATAGAGTTATTTTAATTAATTATGTAAACTAAAAGGAAAATATTATGGATCTCCTAACCAAAGGTTTATTGAAAAAGCTTATGTATAATTCATCAAGGAAAATGACCTTAAAGCCTTTAAAGATGAAAGAGTGTAATGATAATAACTATATCTAGTTGACTAAAGATTTAAATTCAAATAAAAACTAACTAAAGATTTAAGTTCAAATAAAAACTAAGTTATATAATATTCTTATTAACATTAGAAAATTATTATTTCTTTCTTATTTCTTTAATGAAAGAGGTTATAGCTGCAACGTAATAAGGATGAGTTATTCTATTAATGATTTTTATATCTTCGTATGCTAAGTGGATTGCATTAGAATTAGTTTAATGAAAGATTATCTATATGAGTGACAAATATAGTCATTTCTTTAAGAATTTTAAAAAAGACGAATTTCCTAAAATACTCATGAAATTGGGAGTGATTAAATGACAAAATAAACACAACCAAAACCAAAGAAAATCTCTAGGTGAAGAGATATGTGAGTAATATTATCTTAATTTACATAAAAATCTAAATAAAACATGACAACATATTCATTATTTAGCAAGCAAATTTAATAGTATTTTATTAAGGAAGTTTTAAAGTAAAAAACCATCTATCATGATGTAGTGATCAACTATATTAATATCTTTTTATGAATCTTTGAGTCAGTTTTAAACTGCTCAAATAATTTCCATTCATATAGCGAGTTGTTGGGAATTTTGTTTAAGCACATAGTTAATAGACACTTTTGATGTCAAATTATAAGTGAGGTCCATTTATTTTTAAGGTTAAAACTCCGTGGAATTTAATTTTAAACATAAATTCTTTAACATAAAAAATTAACATGATTTAAAAAAAAAAACATGGGTGAATGAGAATTTAATCTCAAAGAACCATAGGTAAACATGTTTTGAAGAAACTCAAAACTCTCTAAAAAAACTATATTCCATATAGGGAAAAAAAACAACTTTATTGAACCTTTTATAGTGGGAGTTGTGATGTTAAAATTAAATTCAAAGGACACCCAAGCTTTTAAATATAAGAGATCCTAAACAAAGTGAGTTTTGGGTCTAAACATACAGATGCAAATACGTGAGTCAAGCTTTGGTGTAGGCATTGGTTTGTTGTAAAATAATTTTTGGGGTTATAAAATATATTTTTTTGAACTTAAATTTAATTTAAAGTCTGGTCCATAAAGAATTATTTCTTTTAGCCTAGTTTAGTGTTTTATCTAGCCCTTGAATGTAATACAAAACCTGAATAATTTTATCAGCTCAAAAGACATCTTGTTAAAAAAATAAAAATATCAAGGTTTAATGTTGGTTTTATGAAGGGTAATTAAAGTTGATAATAGAGGAATTCTTTAATTCTTAAAATTATCTATAAAAAGGGCTTGAGAAGAGTGTTTTTGTATTGGTTTTTCTATACAAATTATACATAATTTTAACACTTTTATTCTCCTATTTTCAACTTTGCTCTTATAGTTTTAAATCTTTGTTTCCTCTTTTTATTTTTCTTTTAATTTAGAGCTTAGATTCAATCCTTTTAGAGATTATTGAGTATAATTCTTTGATTAGTTGGATCTTATTTAGAAGTGTATCTAAACAAGATGGCGGCGATGAAATCATATGAGACTTATTAAAGAAAATTCTTTTTATACCAAGTAATGAGTAATAAAACTTTAAGAAAAAAGAATTAATTCTTGAGAATAACAAGAATTGAAGCTTATTTATATTATTTGAGCTTCAACAAATACCCTAAATTAGTTTTATTAAAGTATAAATGTATTTAGTATGCATATTTGTGTTTTAACCTTTTATGCTAGCCTTTGTATGATTTTAAGTTTATTATATTCTTATTATTATACTGGATGATCATAGACTAAACAAATATGCCCACTTGTATTATTATTTGTGAATTTTGAAAAACAAATAATAAACACTTCTTGCTAGAAATAATTGGTAGATTTTCTAAACCAATAATTGGTATAGATAAATTCAAATTAGCCGTCAATGTTTTTGCGCTATTTAAGAAGGAAACAAAAACAGAGGTACTTTAATGAAAACATGGTGATTAAAATAAATATATGATTGTCATTAGCAAAACACTTGGAGCTTCTCTCTGTTTTTTTATGTTTGCTTTTAGCCAATTGGAATTGTCACAGTTGGAAGAAGAAGTAAGAAAGAGGCGAGCTGAGAGAGGAACTAAGAGCCTTAACTTGGAGCTTTATAAATTCAACTCCACCTATCAAGAAATTACGTGACTTTTATTATTTTCTTTTTCCTCCTATTATTTTAATGAAATCAATCATATAATTAATAATTAATATACTTAAGTTATTTAAAACATGTATTTTGTGAAGTTATATTG